CTCCAGCTTCACACTGGAGGATTTTTCCCCCCCTTAGGATTGTCTTGGCTTTGCAGGCTCTTTTTTGGTTCCATATGAAGTTTAAGGTGGTTTTTTTTTCCAATTCTGTGAAGAAAGTTGTTAGTAGCTTGATGAGGATAGCACTGAATGTATAAATTACTGTGGGCAGTATGGCCATTTTCACAATATTGATTCTTCCTAACCATGAGCATGGGATTTTTTTCCATCTGTTTGTGTTCTCTCATTTCCTTCAGCAGTGATTTGTAGTTCTTCTTGAAGAGGTGCTTCATATCCCTTGTTAGTTGCATTGCTAGGTATTTTATTGTCTTTGTAGCAATTGTGAATGGGAGTTAACTTATGATTTCACTCTCTGTCTGTTATTGGTGTATAGAAATACTTGTGATTTTTGCACGTTTATTTCATATCCTGAGACTTTTGCTGAAGCTGCTTATCAGCTTAAGGAGATTTTGGGCTGAGACAATGGGGCTTTCTAAATATACAATCATGTCATTTGCAAACAGGGACAATTTGATGTCCTCCCTTCCTGTTCAAATACCCTTTATTTCTTTCTCTTGCCTGATGGCCCTAGCCAGAACTTCCAATACTATGTTGAATAGGAGTGGTGAGAGAGGGCATCCTTGTCTTGTGTCAGTTTTCAAAGGGAATGCTTCCAGTTTTGTGCAGTCAGTATGATACGGCTGTGGGTTTTTCATAAATAGCTCTTATTATTTTGAGATATGATCCATCAATGCCTAGTTTATTGAGAGTTTTTAGCATAAAGGGCTGCTGAATTTTGTTGAAGGCCTTCTCTGCATCTATTGAGGTAATCGTGTGGTTTTTGTCTTTGGTTCTGTTTATGTGATGGATTACATTTATAGATTTGCAGATGTTGAACCACCTTTGCATCCCTGGGGTGAAGCCGACTTGATTGTGATGGATAAGCTTTTTGATGTGTAGTTGCATTAGGTTTGCCAGTATTTTATTGAAGACTTTTGCATCAATGTTCATCATGGATATTGGCCTGAGATTTTCTTTTTCAGTTGTGTATCTGCCAGGTTTTGGTATCAGGATGACATTGGTCTCACAGAATGAGTTATTGAGGATTCCCTCTTCTTGTATTGTTGGGAATAGTTTCAGAAGGAATGGTACCAGCTCCTCTTTGTACTTCTGGTAGAATTCGGCTGTGAACCTGTCTGGACCTGGACCTTTTTTTGTTAGTAGGCTATTAGTTGTTGCCTCAACTTCAGATCTATTGGTCTATTCAGGAATTCAACTTCTTTTTGGTTTAGTCTTGGGAGGATGTAAGTGTCCAGGAACTTACCCATTTCTTCTAGATTTACTGGTTTATCTGCATAGAGGTGTTTGTAGTAAACTCTGATGGTAGTTTGTATTTCCATAGGATGGGAGATGGTATCCCCTTTATCATTTTTTATTGAATCTATTTGAATCTTCTCTCTTTTCTTTTTTATTAGTCTGGCTCCTGGATTTATTGATTTTTTTGGAGGATTTTTTGTGTCTCTATCTTTTTCAGTTCTGCTCTGATCTTAGTTATTTCTTGTCTTCTGCTAGCTTTTGAATTTGTTTGATCTTGCTCCTCTAGTTTCTGTAGTTCTTTTAATTGTGATGTTAGGGTGTCAATTTTAGATCTTTCCTCACTTCTCATGTGGGCATTTAGTGCTATAAGTTTCCCTCTAGACACTGCTTTAAATGTGTCCCAGAGATTCTGGTACTATGTGTCTTCGTTCTCATTGGTTTTGAAGAACATCTTTATTTCTGCCTTCATTTCATTATTTATCCAGTAGTCATTGAGAAGCAGGTTGTTCAGTTTCCTTGTAGTTGTGCAGTTTTGAGTGAATTTCTTAATCCTGAATTCTAATTTGATTGCACTGTGGTCTGAAATCATAACTGTTTGTTATGATTTCCATTCCTTTGCATTTGCTGAAGATTAGAATTAATTAATTACTTCTAATTATGTGGTCAATTTTAGAAAAAGTGCAATGTGATGCTGTGAAGAATGTATATTCTGGGTACTGGGGATGAAGAGTTCTGTAGCTGTCTATTAGGTCCACTTGGTCCAGATCTGAGTTCAAGTCCTGGATATCCATGTTAAATTTCTGTCTTGTTGATCTGTCTAGTATTGACAGTGGGGTGTTAAAGTCTCCCACTATTACTGTGTGGGAATCTAAGTCTCTTTGTAGGTCATTAAGAACTTGCTTTATGGTATCTGGGTGCTCCTGTATTGGGTGCATATATATTTGGGATACTTAGCTCTCTTGTTGCATTAATCCCTTTACCATTATGTAATGCCCTTCTTTTTGATCTTTGTTGGTTTTAAGTCTGTTTTATCAAAGCACAAGATTGCAACCCTTGCTTTTTTTTGCTCTCCATTTGCTTGGTAAATCTTCCTCCATCCCTTTATTTTGAGCCTATGTGTGTCTTTTCACATGAGATGGGCTTCCTGAATCTACATTTGATTGGTGTACCTAAAAGTGATGGGGAAAATGAAACCAAGTTGGAAAACACTCTTCAGAATATTATCCAGGGGAACTTCCTCAAACTAGCAAGGCAGACCAACATACAAATACAAGAAATACAGAGAACACCACAAAGATATTCCTTGAGATTAGCAACCCCAAAACACATAATCATCAGATTCACCAGGGTTGAAATGAAGAAAAAAATGCTAAGGGCAGCCAGAAAGAAAGGTCAGGTTACCCACAAAGGGAAGCCCATCAGACTCACAGAGGATCTCTCAGAAGAAACCCTATAAGCCAGAAGAAAGTGAGGGCCAATATTCAACATCCTAAAAGAGAAGAATTTTCAACCCACAATTTCATATTCAACCAAACTAAGCTTCATAAGCAAAGGAGAAATAAAATCCTTTATGGACAAGCAACTGCCGAGAGATTTCATCACCACTAGGCCTGCCCTACAAGAGCTCCTGAAGGAAGCACTAAATATGGAAAGGAACAACCAGTACCAGCCACCATAAAAACATACCAAACTGTAAAGACCATCAACACTATGAATAAACAGTGGTTTGTTGTTCTCTTCAAGGAGAACTACAACTAACTATCAACTAATGGGCAAAACAACCAGCTAGCATCAAAATAGCAGGATCAAGTTACTTACATATAATAATATTAACCTTAAATGTAAATGAGGCAAATGCCCCAATCAAAAGACACAAACTGGCAAATTGGATAAAAAAATCAAGACCCATTGGTATATATTTAATTTCTGAAAGCATTCTTCTGGAGATATTCAAGGTGGTAATTTCCAATATATACACCATACCTTGATAATATTTCCTTATAACATGACATTTGTCATCATTTACCAGAGTCATAACAGGGACTAGCATTTATAACGGCATCTCCCTTCCATCTCAGAATAAATAATTTATCATTTTATTTTGTAGTCATTTATTTTAAATATTATCACCAACTAAACTCCTTCTTGATATAGAGAATTTAAGTTTTGACTACCATCTGATATGTATTTAATGTAATAATGCTACATTTGCTAAATATAATTAAAATATTTAAATGTTATTACATCTTGTGTCTAAGTATACACACTGGTGCCAGTGAAAGAAAACAAAGTTAAAAAGTAAATAATGGGCAGTCAGAAAATATCTACAAACATAATAAATTGTTAAGGCTTGTGCTGATTCCTTTTATGTGTCACCTTGACTGGACCCACAGGGTGCCCAGACATTTGTTCGAACATTATTCTGAGTGTGTCTGTGAGGATGTTTCTAGATGATTAAATTTAAATTGATAGACTGAGTAAAACAAATTGCCCTCCCTTATGTGGACGGGGCTCTTCCAATCAATAGAAGACCTGAATAGAACAAAAAGATTTAGTAATAGGAAACTCCTGCTGCCTGACTGCCTTGAACTGAGATGTGGGTCTGTTCCTGCCTTTGGGCCAGAACCAAAGCAGTGGCTGTTAGGTCTCAAGACTGTGAGCATTCAGACTGAAAATTCACACCATCACACCATCAGCTTTCTTGGTTTTCAGGTCTTTGGATTTAGATTTCATTTGAATTTAGGCTAGAACTACATCATCTGCTTTCCTGGGTCTCCAGCTTGCTGACTGCAGATCCTGGGACATTCCAACCTTCATAGCTGTAGGAGCCAATTCCTTATAATAAATATCTTTATATATGCATATAATACACACACACACACACAATCTTCTTAATGGTTCTGTTTCTCTGGAGAGCCCTAATACAGTGTTAAGTATCTCTTACATTTTAAAAATTTCTAAAATTCAGCAAAGACCAATAAAACCCAACAATAAAATGGTCAAAGTAAACAAACTAGAAAATCTCATGAGAAATATAAATGATCACTAAACAGTACTCAAGCTCATGAAAACTCAAATAAATAACAGTGAAATGAGATGTCATATTTTGCTTATCAAACAGGACAAAAGTAAAAGAATGATAATATGCATCTTTGGCAGAAATGCAATGGAAGAGCATTCTCACTCATGTTGGAACAGAAAAATGTATAAAGCTTTGTAGAGGAGACAGTATCAAATTTACAAATGTACATAATATTTAACATAGACATTCCTCTTTAAGAATTAATCTATAGAAATATGTTTCCAAATATACAAAGATATACAAATTTTCCCATCATGATAAATTGGAAACCTATTAAATGGAAAAAGAAACATGCAGAACAACATGTATAGACCAGTGCTATTTTTGAAGCTATAGATATGAGTGTCTGTGTACGTGTGTGTGTGTGTGTGTGTGTGTGTTATAATACTGGAAGGATACACCATCAGGTTGTCTTTAGGAGGTTGGGAAGGGTTTTCATTTTTCCACCTATACTATGATTTGCATTTTTAACAGTTAAGTATATATGAGAATTCCTAATTACAAAAAGGAAATTCTGTTAGTTAATAAGTGAAACAGCATCTCTAAAGGCAAAATCTCTGCCGTGTATAAGGACATTAAAACAGCAAATGAGCAAATAACTTACCCCAGGGTAACAAAACCACATAGAATTTTTGACAAATCATCTTACTTCAGAGAAGTACACCTGGAAAAGAGTAAATCTAAAATCAAAACACACACACATATCCATATGTCTGTGGAAAACATAAAAGGAAAGGGATTATAAGTAGCTCTCTAAATTTTAATAACCTGTGATACTCTAGATCAATATCTGGGAAATATCTCACATTAAATTATGTTATAGATTTATTCCTTTACACATCCTATCTTAAATCATTAAAAATACAAGCCAAAAAAAATTGTAACTGAGTGTTCTTTATGCCATAACAAACCAGGACAGGTGTCACAGGATAAGACTGAAATTTTAACTAAACATGAGTGCTCACAATGTTGATTAAATGTAACAGCTAATTTAACAACATTAATGTCACCATCTTCAATTTTTTTCATGCTCAGTTCTTAAATTTCCCTTATTTATTAAAGTCTTCATCTTTACTATGATATTACAAGGCCAAGTAATTATTGCATAGGTAACAACTGCCTATTTATTTCCAATAAAGAGGAGAAATTTATATGCTTTTGGAAACATTGTTCATTTGCAGATGAGGTAATACTGGAGAGTTAGAATAACTGAAAGTCTGATGGCCTAATATACTCAAATGAATGCATGACTTCAGAGATAAGATTTCCCATGAGTTCTACTCAATTTGAAATATCACAAATATGATTATTTGTACTACGATGTCATGAATCAAAATACTAGCATAATTTTAATATATTGGGCTTGGACTTTGGATGAAAACCTACTTGTTAGGAGTGTTGGGTGCCAGTGTAAGCTCTATGGCTAATCAGCTGTGGGACTTGGGTTTTCAACACTCTAAACCTCAGGTTCCTCATCTACAAATCAGACCATTAAATGGTCCCTAAACCCTTTTCAGAGCTGCCTATGATTCTGAGAGATGTAATTTAAAATAGAAACCACAACTCTACCACAAAGAATATTATAAAACATTAAGTGAGAAACATGTGTCATACCTCATATCTAAGAATTGGCACCACATGATAAGTAAATGGGAAAACATGTTCATTTATTTTACAACTTACTCTCAGGAAGAAAATAAATGAGTATGAACAATGGGTAATCTGGTAAATTTGTTTTTCAGACTACAAGGTTGTCATCAAAATGTTTGTTCTTTATACACTGATATCACAATGTTTCTTTAGGATTTCTAGAAATCAGTTCAGTGTTTGGAACTCTCATGATTTAATTATATTAAACTAGTAAAAATTCCTCCCTGCTTTGTATGCTACCTGTTCTTGATATAAAATGTACTCATAAAATAAACTCGAAGGCAAGTTTTATAATCAGGATGTGTCACAAATGCAATATATCACTGGATTGTTTTGATTAAACGGACTAGTGACTAGTTAATTCCGTTGTACAATTGATCTGACTCACTCCTAACTCGTCTGGTCTCCTAAATTAAGTGATCAAATAGATCAGTAGTTTTCAGCTTTCCTTACATATAACAACCATGTCTTTATTTAATGTTCCATGCAAAACACAAACTATTCTGATGGTTTAGATTCTTGCAGTCAGGTTTCATCCTTAAATGACAGAGAAACAATCACAAGTATAAAAAGGACATAGACACAATCTTAAAGAGACCGTGAAAGTGGTATCTGACATAGATTCAATGAGAGAAACATATGCACCCTAAATTGTACAAAAAGGAATACAAATAAGTTTTTTAAAAACACAAATAATACAGAAAAAAAGGCCAGGCACAGTGGCTCATGCCTGCAATCCCAGTACTTTGTGAGGCCAAGGCAGGTGGATCACTTGAGGTCAGTTCAAGACCAGCCTGGCCAACATAGTGAAACCCCATCTCTACTAAAAATACAAAAATTAGCTGAGTGTGGTGGTGACTGCCTGTAATCCTAGCTACTTGGGAGGTTCTGGTAGGGGAATCACTTGAACCTGGGAGGTGAAGGTTGCAGTGAGCTGAGATTGCCCCATTGCACTCCAGCCTGGGTGACAAAGTGAGACTGTCTGATAAAAAAAAAAAAAAAGAAAAAAAAACACACAGGAAAAGTGACAGAATTTTTTTAAATATGTGAAAAAAAGAATGAAGCAAATTAAAAATTAATGATAGGATGACCATTAATCTGAAGACACTTCCTAAGGATGAACCATTAATTTGTTCTAAATTTTCTTATGGTCGATTTGTTCAATTATAAATTCTAAGTACTTAAAATGAAAGTAACAGTTTAGAACTAGAGTGCAAATAATCCTAACACTAAGAACAGTAAGAAATTTTTATTGATTAATTTTATAAGATAACAGCTAACATCCTCATGATCATCCTAATAATGACAGAGTATGAAAGGAATTTCAAATTTTAATAATTTGTCACCCTCTCCACTACCAGTACCCTGTTCTAAGCCACCATTGTCTCTTCCCAGAACTATCGGAAGAGCCTCCTAACTGGTCTCCCTGCTTCTGCCCTTGATTCCGGTTCAGTCAGTTATCAACATAGCAATTAAAGTGATCTTCTTTTTTTTTTTTTTTTTTTTTTTGAGACGGAGTTTCGCTCTTGTTACCCAGGCTGGAGTGCTATCTCGGCTCACCGCAACCTCTGCCTCCTGGGTTCAAGCAATTCTCCTGCCTCAGCCTCCTGTGTAGCTGGGATTACAGACACATGCCACCATGTCCAGCTAATTTTTTGTATTTTTAGTAAAGACAGGTTTCACCATGTTGACCAGGATGGTCTAGATCTCTTGACCTCGTGATCCACCCGCCTCGGCCTCCCAAAATGATGGGATTACAGGCTTGAGCCACCGCACCCGGCCTAAAGTGATCTTCTTAACACAGATCAGATGATGTCTCTCCGACACAGCAGTCACAGTGATCTTATTAACACATTAACTGGATAATGTCTCTCTAAAAGTCCAAGTCCTGAGCAGGACTACAAGGTCCCATATCCCACTCATCATCCACTGCTCTCACCACTGCTCAAGTCACCTTCTCAAAGAAGCCTTCCCTGGCCATTTCATCTGAAATTTCAGCACCTTCCTGATGCCAACATGCACAAAAGTAATTTCCAAAGAGGCATTCTCCAATCATCCAGACACAAGTCTTTGAGAATCTGGCATAATCACAAGAAGAACTTCAATATGGTGATTCTTAACCATTTTTTGGAACATGGATTGGAACATGGACCTCACTGAGAATTTTGGTGGAAGGAGTGTGTCAACACCACGAGGAAGCACATACAACAAAAATTAGGGCTATAATATCAAGGGGTTAACAATCCCTTGAAACTTATCCAAGGATTAAGAATTTCTGACATAGATAAATAAATATAATGCACATTCCACAAGTAGAGCTCCATGAACTGAGCCAGTCAGACAGCACACTATAAGGAGTTAAGCTAATACTGCCTAACATTACCCTGGAATTCAGTTATCTTCATTCATTTGGGCTGCTATAACAAAATACTACAAATTCAGGGGCTTACAAACAATGGAAATTCATTGCTCACAATTCTGGGGCTGCAAAGTCCAAGATAAACATGCCAGCAGATTCCATCTCTGGTGAGGGACTATTTCTCATAGACAGTGACTTCCTGCTGTGTCTTCAAATGGCAGAAGGGGTGAACAAGCTGCCCTGTAGCCTCTCTTATAAGGGCACTAATCCTCTTCCATGAGGGCTCCACCTTCATGACCTAATCACATCCTAAAGGCCCCAACTCTTAATGCTATTGCATTGGTTATTAGGTTTCAATGTATGAATTCTGTGGTGACACAGACATTCAGACCATAGAAGTAGTCATTCTCTGTTGACAGTTAAAAGGAGTAATGTCCCTTGGCAGTCACTCAAAAAGATGGTAGGGCTGACATCCTCACATGACATGGAAACATGCCAGAGTAACCTTTACCCCAATCACCACTGGCAATACTTAGAACTGGACTAGGGTAAGGAAAGGGCTTAATCACTTCTCATTAGAAAATAATTGTGGCTCTACTCTCACAACTAAAATGAATGTTGCCAAAGTTCTCTATTACAGCAGAAACAAGTATAGCTTGAAAACATTTTTCAAAGAAAAATAAGCAAATGCCCATTATGGCCATAAAAAATTATCATAAGGTAACTATATTATAGATTTGAGCAGCGTAGGCCCCTGTGTCTACTTCCAAAGTAAAGTAATTGAATAATGTACACTAAGCTGACTTTGTCTTATAGACCACATAAAAGTATGGGATGTCTATTAAAAATAATACGGGGGGAGGACTCAAGATGGTGCTGTGAGAACAACCCAGGATTGAAGCTCTCGTTGAATCCGCGGAGAGGTGAGTCAGAGCTGCATTTCCAGACTGATCTTTGCTGCCCACAGAACGGGGAAATTCCCAAGTATAAAGGAGACGCGGGATGCCAGGTAGAGGTACTGCCTGGCGAAGCCGGCAGCCGGGGTGGCGTCGGCCGGCCCTACCCAGCGCTCCCCATAGGGCGTGCTTGTCCGGGTGCCCTATTGAACCGGCAACCTGGGACTTGAGAGGGCTGGACTTGTGACTGAACGGGACTTGGACAGTGGGCCAGCCCAGGAAATTGCAGGGACACAGTGTTTGGGGTAGCCCAGTGGGACGGACAAAACCGCGATTCCAAAGGCTCCCCGTGCAGACGGTCCCTGAGACGCTCTGTGGGGGAGGGGCGTCCACCATTACCAAGGCAACCCGCCCCTACTGAGATATACGCCCACTGCTGATGCAGCCTGCCGTTGCCGAGGCAACCCACTACAACAGAGAGACTCCGCTGCAGGGCATAGCCCATGGCGGAGACCGCAGCAGGAGAGCAGAGCCTACAGCAACTGGGCGAACCACACAACAGAAGGGCGGAGCCTCGGCAGGCAAACAGTGACTAGACTGCCTCCTAGCTGGGCAGGACACCTCAATGGACATCAAAAATAAAGCCCGAACCCCCCAACACAGAGCATTTGAGAAAACAAGGGTTTTTTTTTTAATGAGCTCGGTTGCAGCAGAATCAAACATAGCAGCCTAACAGCCCTGAATGAACAACAGAGCTCA